TAATCTCAGCTTTAGAGTGAACACTCCACAGTAGCCAGAGAACCTGAGGGTTCTTAGTAACTTGCCGCACGAGGCTATGTCACACAGATCATTATAAGCCCCATGTTTTGTGAGGACCCGTCTCAGGCAAAAGAGATGCCCCTTGTAGGTGAGTTGGACGTAGGAATAGGTCCTAAGGTAAATGAATGTTGTGGGACTGGTCTGTCTCTCCCACCTCATATTTTCATAAGGGTGAATTTGATGAAAATGGTATCAAGGGCAACTTCACTTGATGGAACTGGGAGCATACACATGAGGAGCAGCAGTGACAAGGTGGATGTGTTGAAAGAAGTGTTACAGAGAGAAATAAGCAGCTTGAGAGAGAAAAGGATAAAGGGAGAAGAGGAAATTGATGATAATCACAAACAATAATAATATAAAATATGGCCAGCTTCACTTGATGATGCTGGCTGGGACCACAGAGCACACGCCTGGAGTGATCCTTGCTTCCCCATATCTTGAAGCTGACTATCTATGACTGCAGTGGAGCCTCCTCTGGCATAGAAATATGAATTTCTCAAGAGCCATATCTCTACTCCACCAGCAGCTCTGCATCCTGTGCAGAGCATTGAGAAAGAGCTTGACCTTTCAAGGGATTGCTATTACCTGGTGTTCCTGAGCCCTGTCTTAGGATGTACACTAAACATATTCCCAGTAAAGCATGTCAACAACTGAGTCTCCACTTAGACTGAGTCAGCCTGTTGATACCTTTTGAAGTAGGAGAGATTTATCCTCAGTGGCTTCCCTTCTTATGACATTTCTTCCATATGAGGGCCCTTCTAAAAACTACATTGACTACAGAAGTGGGGATGTGGCGAGTGGAATCGAATCTACTTGCTGGTCTTTACTGCTCAGACAGATCCAGATATTTTTGGAATCTGGTTGCCCAATATCAGGACCCCACTGGATCCAGTTCCAAATGTTAAAGACACATAAACAGAAGATTATTTCCACCCTTCCTACCAAATGTCACTGAGCTCAGTGGGAGACACCACAGCCCTGTATTAGGTGACAAGAAAATCTCTTTGTTTTCCACTGCCATTAGGAGCGATCAGCTGCAAGACACCCAGGGAGAAAATGACAAGTGCCTCAGCATGAATATTGCCATCTTTGGCAGGGTAAGGGGATGTCAGGCATAGCAGTGGAAAAATAACCCCCTGAGATTTTAGGTCTGTCCCCTTTATACAGACAGACTTGGAGTGAGCATAGATCATTCCAGAATTCTTGGCCTGGTCGGGTTCGAACTATTGAGAGAGAGAAGTATAAAATTGAGTGATATTCCATTTCAAAAGCAGCAGACGGACAGCATTTCAGAGCTAGAAGAGACCTTGCGAGCTTAGCCTGTTCATCTAGACATCCAGACTCACAGGATGTCAGAACCGGCAGGGATATTAAAGACCACTGCATCAGACATGGCCAACAGGTGCAGGAAAAGTTGCTCAGCATCAGTAATCATCAGAGAAATGTAAGGCAAAACCACCAGGAGCTATCATGTCACAACTGTTAGAGAACAGCTATTATCAAAAAGATAAGAGGTAACAACAAATAATCCAATCAAGAAATGGGCAGAAGACATGAACAGACATTTCGGCAAAGAAGACATCCAAATGGCCAACAGACACATGAAAAAGTGCTCAACATCACTCAGCATCTGGGAAATGCAAATCAGAACCTCAATGAGATACCACCTCACACCAGTCAGAATGGCTAAAATTAACAAGTCAGGAAACGACAGATGTTGGTGGGGATGCAGA